ATCATACGTTAAACAGACAAATTATAATAACTGGTTCAATGGCATTTTCAGCCATATAACTGTGATGGAGGAAGTAAACCTAAACTGACTTTTAAATACATTAGCTTCTTGTAAATGCTCTCAAATTGACCCAGACGTGAAGTGGAATTTCTGAGAGACAGTAAACCACAGTTGTATGTTTTGTTGTTGTTGATTTTTTTTTTTTTTAAGTCTACCAGAGGTAAAAATTTGAAGACTCTCAAATTTTTTATTTTTTAGGAAAAAAAAAAGTGAAATTGTGCATTTGCTTTGGCAAAGAAAGAAATGCTACCATTTAGTAGAAAGGAGAATACTAGTGTAGGACATCAGTTTATAAACATTTACTTCTTGGAAAACAAAATAAAGATCTGCTGTATCATTCAGAAGATGATGAAAAGAAAAAAGTCTATACAGTGTACAAACACAACAATTCAAAAATATGTTCTTTAAACCAAGAAGATCCAGTTTAGTGAAACACTAGAACAGGTTGCCCAGAGAAGTGGTAGATGCCCCATCCCTGGAAGCATTCAAGGTCAGGTTGGATGGGGCTCTGAATATCCTGATGTAGTTGAAGATGTCCCTGATCATTGCAGTGGGGTTGGACTAGATGACTTTCAAAGGTCCCTTCCAACCCAAACTATTCTGTGATCACTTTTACATTGATGGAAAGAAAATATAAAAAAAAAGGAACTTAAAAGATCCCTCCCCAATTCCACAGTTTTACTTGCAGGGAAATTTATGGGAATGCTTTCTTCTACTATTTTTTGTAGTAACTCTAAAAGACTAGTGGATGAAGAACCAAGAACACTTGATATTTATGTGCTGTACTTCTATTAAGAACATACAAGATGTTTGCCAGGAAGCTGATGATGGTTGTGATAGGATACCTGAAGATACCATGAGATTCTGAAGCACCTTAGGGGGACTAACTAATAATACATACAAATCAATGCTGGACTGGATTAGCATCATACTTGTGACATTTTGCTGCTAAAGGTAAAAAGTGAAAAGGAGTCAGCTATCCATATATAAGACTTGACAGTACAGAACCTCATACAGTTATTTTTGCTAGTGGAAACCGGGAGAAAGTAAGTAGATTATGTGGAGGAAATAAGAAATTGTGGACTGAATGGCTTTTGCTCCTTCAGACTTTTATACCATATACTAGATAAAACCCCCAAGATTTAGCATCTGAGATATTTGATATCTGATAAATCTGATGTCACATTTATGTAAGAAAATATTGAGACTATTCATACCACATTCTGAAAGAAAGTCGTTTAAGGTAGAAGACAGAGATAGTAGTGTGAGATTGCTATATTCACTGACTTCCCAGAGGTTCCACTACTCCAGCTGCATAACCATGTAAACATGGACAGTTTGCTATCCACATCCCTGTTCCACAATAGAGTTCAGTTACAAATTATGATGATCTGTAACTACTGAGCATACTGCCAGAATTCCATCATAAAGTACCTCCTTCGATGCTTCAAATGAATACACTTAGCAAAACTTTCTCCTTCTGATATAAGAACTGCAAGAAGAGAGACCTTGATATTGGTAGCTCATGAAAAGAGTTTTCTGTAACTTGTAAGATGACACATGCTTTTTATTCATTGCATTGCAGCTTATGGACAAACACAGTGGAACTGGAAGTATTCCCTTACATTTTCCATTCTGGTCTTATGAAAAATTAGTTATGGCTACGTCTCCTTTTCTGGTACTTAATAATAATTAAATTACCCTAAAAAAAAACTCGACTGGGTTGTTAGCTGATAAAACAAAGTCATGTTCCTAAAATCTACTCCACAGACATTTTCATTAATGACATCTAGTATGACATCAGAGCTTGCTATCATAAGCTCCCTTACGTGTCTGAAATAATCCTCTATCTGCTCAAAAGAACACTGTAGTTATAATCCTTCTAAACAACACAAGTCTATCTTTGACTTACATCAAAAGATTGGGACTGGTCTACTTTCAATTCCCGAGGCTTAACTTATTTACAAAAATACCCTTTCTCACAAAAATCAGTTTATACACACTGGAAAAAAAAAAAAAAAAAAAGATGTCTTTTAAGTTAAAAAAGTTCTGTAATCCCAAAGAAAGCAAAATCTGGACCCTACAAGGCAGGCTTTGAAGATATTGAGGGAGAAAATTCCCTTTTATTTGTGTTGTCCTGGGCTACACACTATCTGTGCTTACCAAGCACAGCTATACCAGTGTAAAAAGGAAAGCAAAATGGCACAAACACATGAAAGCAAGAAAAAGTTTCTAGAACACTGGTAACCTCTGAATATTTTAGATACAGCAACTCCTATTTTAGGAGGAAAAGAGAGAGTAATCATCAGATATTGAAGAGCTTTTGCATAATGGCTGGGGTTTAGATAAGGGAAGAGTCCTGTCAGTTGAACTTTTCTACAGTTACATTACTTTCAGTGTTGACGTGCTTTTTCTAAAGGAAAGCTATTCTTTTTTGGTTTAAATGAGAAATTACTCCAAGCAACATAAAGAAAGAGAAAAGATTTCTGCTCTTCAATATCAGGGTCATTTACATAGTGATTTACACTAGTAATTAGTCTATTCTGCTAGGGTACTGCACTAATACACATTACCTAGATACAGAAAGATTAATAAGGATTCCACTTTCTGTAAGTATAAGGCAGTGTGTTTTCAGTGTTATAAAAATTTTAAGGTGTACTTAGCACTGAAATGACTTAGAAGCACGGGGGGTTTTAGGTCAGTAAAAGAATCTTAGTGCCATAATAGGTTTTACTTAATAGAGATTTTCCTTTTTAGATGTGCTAAACACCAAATATAGGAACTGCCATGCTGAAAGGGAAATAATTGACTATGTGAAGCTGAATTAATGTTTTTCACTAAAAGTTAGGAAAAGCATGTGAAAGTGCATTGGGTTTTATACTGCTCAAACCTATCTATACAGAGAGCTCCTATTTAATTTAGGAGACAACTGAAAAATAGGTACTGACTGTAACTTATTATCAGCATTACCAAACAAAACATAACCATAGGGCACATAGATAGCTTAAACAAATATGCAGATAAACATTTTTTTACAAGGAATTTATAGCCCAGTTCAAATAGACAGCATTGTTAACTTTCACATAACACCTATGGGGTGACATTGTAAAGTTGAAGAAATAAAATCTTGCAAGTGAATCATAGAAGTGCTGTAGATGGGACAATGCTTCAGGTAGGGAAGGGAAAAGAACTGCCGGACAACTGATGTAGTTTGTCATATAAGGATTTAAATGGAAGATGGGAAGAAGGAGATATGGAGTCAGGGAGAAATCTTGAAACAAGTAGTAGCACTGTGGCCTTCCATGGTACATAAATGAAGTGGAATTACTCTGTGTATCCGTGAATGCAAGAGGAACTTGAAACTGAAAGTAGCAAGTACTGAAAAAAAGATGCAAATTGGAAGTGACAGTTGAGAAAGAGTTAGAAAAAAAAAAATGAAAAAAGAATGAAGGTAGATTGATATGGCAGAAGTTGAGATGGATGAGGCAAGATACAGAGAATTATTACAGTGATGATGCTTAAGAAAGAAGCTTCTAGAAGTACTGTAAACAGAACAGAAGGAATGAAAACATTTTCACATAAAAAAGGAAAGACTAGACCAGCACTGACGACTGTGTGGAGGTTGAGCACATGAGCGATGTGTGGGATCACGGAACAGTGAATAGTAGCAGAAAAGAAAGGATATGAGAAATCTGGAGAAAAGCACAGGATTTTTTCCAAGTTGAACTTGAGGTTTCTTAAGAGACAGTTAGTAGTCTGAAAGAAAGTACACTATATCTGACTATCTTCAGAAGAGCAGCTGAAACAGAAGAAATGGATAGAGTTGCTCGGTGAAAATATGAAGAAGTGGGAGAATCATAAATAAAAGTGCAGGAACTCGCATGAAAAAAAGCAGTGGCTGAGGTACTGAAAATTTGAGAAACACAGGAAAAGTAAAGAAGGGAGTGACCTTTCCATTAAGGGAACAGTAGCTTAACTGAATGGGTATTCTCTTTGAAAAGATGTATCTAGGTCTCTCAGTAAGATACTAGGACATTTCAAGGGTATTAGTAACATCAGGAAGGGAATGGAAGCTGTTGTCATGCTTATGTTGGATTTGCTTTTTAATTTAAAAAGCATAGAAAAGCCAAGTGGATGCAGACCTTTAAGTAAATAGATTAAGAAATCTGAGTTTCTGAAGAAACATGGTACTAAGAGGAGGTTACTTGTTTTGAAGAAAAAAATAATAAAACTAACAAAATCTTTTGCTCTGGTCTCCTACTCTGGCAATGAAAGCACCAGAAAATTGATTGGGTCTTCATCTGTGTAGGCTGATAAAAGCGTAACCCTATTGTCTGGAACAATATGGAAGGCAGCTAGAGGAAATAAAATCCACAGAAAACAAAACACAGTCAAAAAATATACATATGCACCAAGATACTGATGTTTTATGCAATAATTACAATGAAATATTAAAACATAGAAAAGAGTCACATGTGAAAACTAGTTAGATTTTGCTATTAAACAGCATAGTGTTCTGACAGAAATTGCCTAAGAAACATTGGGGAGCATTGACAATGCTGTAGTACATCCTTAATTGCTTTCACATACATTTCAGTCCTGATAGCATTTTTATTTGATTGTTTTGTCAAGCATGGAAGAATTATGCCAAAGATTGCATTAAGGTGGAAAATTTTTTGCTCTTTTCAATTCTATTTTGATCAAATCAATGTAAGCTCCTATTAAGTAACATTTAGAGGGATTTAATAGTCAGTATATGTGTGCACTACATTACAAATTACAGGCAATTTAGCTTAACTGTGTGCATGTATAATGTTAACAAGTCTTTAGTGAAAGATTATTTTTGAGTTCTTGTTTTGCAGGCCAGTCTGTGTGAGAATAACCGAACTCTGCAATAAAACATGCATAATATTATATAACTTCAAAGGAAAACTTCTTACCTCCAGCAACTAGCCCGGACTCTCCTAACTGAATTGCTACCCCGAAGCCACCAAGCTTCACTGGGGCTGAATTCTCTTTTGAGGCAAGCAGTACACAGTGTGGCTGAAAAGACAAAAACCCAGAAAAATTATCTTATTATTTGAGAAATAGAATTGGCATTTTAGAACTTGATTTCATAAATTTGCAAACAGAAGCTAGTTCTCATTTATTTATTTATTTCGGTATTTCTTAATTTCAGGTATTTTTTTTCCCTGGCATGGTCTCATCTTTCTTCACTGGCTTCCCTTTCAATTGTGCCAGCCACAGCAATATTCTTTCAGGACTTACCAGGATTCACAAGGAACACAAAGTGAAATCATAATAAAATGGAAGTAAAAAATTAACACTTGTAATTTCTTTTTACTTTTCATACTTAAGCTTTCAAGGGGTAGGGTGGGGTGGCTGGGAATTGTTTAGGGTTCTGAACTGATTCCAGGCACAGACATCTTTTATTTTCCACTGTCTTTCTACTAGTGAGGTGTAACATATAAAAATGGAATAATATTACACAACAGTTTGGATGGATACTGACTGCTGTAGGATGAAGCAACATATAGACATAGTTTGAACACAGTTTAATATATAATACACATAGCCAAACTGCTACATTTGATACAGAATGACTTCCTGCCTCATTTTGCAGTCAATCATTATTTAAAAGGGAGAATGTCAATTATGTATACTGCTTCTTGAGAATACATTGCTGCTTAAATGACAAACCCTGCACCTCAAAATAGTACAAAAGAGCTACAATAAGCTCAATCTGACTACTTAAAATCATTATCTGCTTTCACCTATGTTTTCCTCTAAAAAGCTTCAATTATACAAGGCAATGACCTTCAAATAAGAATGCACAGAGCCTGTTTACAAGTATAGCTGAAATGTGCAGAAACCCATAAAAGCTTCATTCCTAAACAGATGATATAGTAATAAAATTAACATGGAAATTATCATTTCAAATACTAAGGAGAATACCAAGTCAAGACAATGTTCTTGAGATGATCATTAAATTTAGGCTACCATATATCAGGATTTCTAGAATCAATTTCTAAATTTGCAATTTATAAATGTAACTTTCAATCCCTTTCACCCTATTTAAAAATATTATTACCAGATGGTATTATCTCAGCACATTGTATCCCACTCCTGCCTCATTGAAATTCTTAAGCCACACCACTTAGGGCACTTTCACAATCTCTCATTGCTGCCATTCTGAGTGGAAAAAAGATCAACCTCAAACTTCTAACCCCAGGCAAGAAGGTAGATGGAACAACTACACCAACGCAAGCAAAATGTACCATTTTACCGTGGTGATTAATCAACTTCCATGACAATATTAAAAAGATGAGAGAATGCACCAACATAACTGTCATCCAAAAAGGAAGCCACTGACACTGCCCACCAGAAACAAAGTTTCTGAGAAAAAAAATAAAATAAAAAAATCCAAATCTCCAACTCAGAGAAAATTTTATTATAGAATGTCTCCCAGCAAACCCCAAATTAACAGCAAAATTGAGCTTTTCAATAAACTGCGTTTTGCTAGTTAAAACACATTTCAAAAAACCCCAGTTGCAACACTAGTTAAACTTCCCCTTGTTGCTAATTGTACTATGTCAGCTGATTCTTATCACTTTCACAGAGAAGCTGGTGATCTAGCTTTCTAATAAGAGGACTTGCATGTTACTCCTCCCTGTCTTCACTAGTGGTTTTGAAAATCAGCAGAAGTTCTCAATATATAAATGGTAAGTGTCTTCTTTTATACTTTACCCATATTAAACCAGATTTCTATTAAAATGTCATTTAACTGCAAAGGTACTACTAACCTTCGAACTCTTTCTTAAATACACCTAGGGTTAAAAGCATGCCTGTTTGCTTCCAGGTGACAAAACTTATGGTAGTGAAAAGTTACATTTCTAATGCATGTGCAATGTAATAGATTTTTCACTCTCATTGACCTAAAACTTGTAAATACTTTGCAAGTTATGATGTCAATCATTTCTACAGAAAAGCATCATAACAAGAAATTCTCGCAGTAGATAGGTTTCGGGATGTATTTGAAAGCATCAGTTTTTTTTTTTAATGAAACTTTCAAAATTACATCTTGCCTGGACAATATGAAAACAGGAATACTTTTTAAACTGCTAACATATTGTACAAATTTAATACATTTGTGCGGTCAATCTACACAGCACATTTAAAATATTTTAGTCTGTCCTCTCAATAATGCAGATTCTGTATGTGCATTAATTCTTACTGAGATTTTTATCTAAAGTGCTGCCATTTTCACTGCTGCAGCCATGTCACACATTTAAATGTAAATTTGCATTTTTTAGACCTAGCATGCAAATGAAAAACTATTTTAACACCAATTCTATAGTTTTTGTGGGATTAGGAGAAAAAAGCTTGCTCCTTAAAAATGAGAAAATCAAAGCAAACTTATTTATGGAATCTTTTATCACTATGAAATATAAACTGAGGACGAAGTTGTATCATTACTAATCAGCCAACCATCACTCTAAACAGCTAGTTCTGATTCTGCTCTCTTAACCACACACTTTTTTGTTTTTCCTTCTTTGGTCAAAACTGATTTGCAACTTCTACATTGTACCTTCCTGGTCAAAAGTAAGCTTAGTGAAATTAAAAACTTTGAAATTAAAACAAAGGAAGCAACGAAAACAAGGTAAATGTGAAAACAGTGTTACTGCATTAATGTGACTTCCAACTAGTATTAGTTTCTTTGCATAATATTGATTTGTGAACAGTTAAGGAAAAAACACATTTACATGAAGATATAAAATATTAAAAACAAGCTCATAGTGTTACTTCTAACATTACATAGACAAATAAATATTAATTTACAATTGCTTTTCTAGTTGAAAACTTGTGACTTGTATGGGAGAGATCCTGGGCACTTATTTAAAATTAATACTGATGAATTTAGAATTGTTTTGACATATTTCTAAGTACTTTGTATCAACACTGAGAACACTTAGCTATGCTTACCCATTCTTGCATCTTAATTAAAAAGTTTTCTGTGTTAGAAAGACAAATCCTAATGTCTGAACTTAACAAAATTATTTGTACTTATAGAAAAACAAAAAAAAAATTAACTTATAAAGTCTGTAGCAAACCGTAACAGTTGATTTTGAAAACAATAACAATTATAAAGATATAACTACAAAAATGGTTGTGTGAGTACTCTATACCATCTGTTCTCGTGTACTTCTTGTTAACTAAAACAGGGAACTGGTTATTCTAGATTTACACTCTATCATGATACCTATCTGAAAGTCCTTCTACTCAGCTACAATGATACTTCGGTGCATTTACTTGTTTTGGTGATTTCCTTTAATGTTTACATCACGTAAGACTGTATGCAATAAGCAAACAAACACATGAAAATGATCCAGTGGTGATTTAATTTTTACAATTTCTCTTTGCACTCCTACAGAACAGCTAAAAAAATCCTCACAAATGATGGGTGCAGCTTCAGCTGATTTACTGACCATTATTCCATACAAGGAGGACTTTTGGAGTAACCTACCTAACTTAGCCATAAATGCCTCAGAAATTCAAAACAATGCCACTTGTTCCTTAGATGACAACTCACTGTCACTTGCTTTGATAGTTTTTTACTCTATTATTTTTGTTGTTGGATTGGTTGGAAATATTATAGCCCTGTTTGCTTTCCTGTGCATTCATCAGAAAAGGAACTCTATCCAAGTTTACTTGCTAAATGTAGCCGTTGCAGACCTTCTGTTGATCTTCTGTCTTCCCTTCCGAATACTCTATCATGCTACCAAAAACACCTGGCTGTTTGGACTGATTTTATGCAAGATTGTAGGAACTCTATTTTATATGAACATGTATATTAGCATAGTACTGTTGGGATTAATCAGTCTAGATCGTTATGTAAAAATAAATAAGTCTGTGAAGCGCCCTAAAATGTTAACTACTAGACGAAGTATACTTATCTGTTGCGTGGTGTGGGCAATCGCACTAACAGGATTTATAATAGTAGTTGCACCATCTTTCTTCAAAAGCGAGAACAGCAATTCTACTATGTGCTTTCATTACCGAAATAAACACAATGCAAAGACAGAAGCAATTTTAAATTATGTTACTGTAATCATTTTTTGGATAGTTTTTTTCCTTTTGATACTTTCATATGTTAAAATTGCTAAGAACCTCCTGAAAATTTCGAGGAAAAGAGCAAATTTTCCCAATGCAGGAAAGTACACCCAGACAGCAAGGAACTCCTTCATTGTGCTCATTATTTTCACCATCTGTTTTGTTCCTTACCACATATTCCGGTTTGTCTACATTACATCACAGTTACAAAATCCATCTTGTCATTGGAAGGAAATCATTCACAAATGCAACGAGGTGATGCTCATATTCTCATCTTTTAACAGCTGCTTAGACCCAGTTATGTATTTCCTAATGTCCAGAAGCGTCCGTAAGACTGTATTCCAACTTATCTGCAGAAGACTTCATGGAGATTCAGGCCTAGCACTGGAAAGTACTTCAGAAATAAAACTTGGACAATATACACAAGAGCGTTTTTCTACTACCACTCCCTACTCAAGTTCTTTAAAGAAGAAATCTCTGATTTGATTGTTTAAAGGAATTGATAATAATTTCTTTCTGTTGCTTCAGGATTTATATCAGTTCATCATCACATCAATTTAAGATTACCAAATGCTATGCTGTACAGCTACTAATCCTGGTCTGTCTTTCTTCCTGGTAAAAAAAAAAAAGAGAACTCTTACTTCTGTTTGTGAAAATAAGAAGTTGCTTTTCAGAAGTACTTCACTCTTGTTTATCCAAGAAAACAAAATAGGAAGTTCTCCGACATCTTCTGTTGGACTAAACTAGAACACTAACTCTTTAAGGAGATTTCCATGAAGTGGATTGAATATGTATAAGGAATCTTGTATATAGACATTAATATAACAAACTTCTGTATTTAAATAATGAATTTTGCAAAAAATAATGTGTCCTATGCAAAAGAGCTATATAAATCATTACAGATTTTATGTACTTCTCTGTTTTAATTGGTT